TTTTAAACTTCCATATTATAGCAAAGATTTTAAATTATATTACTTGTTTCTCTCTCTTTCTCTCTCTTTTTTTTTCTGTGCTCAGCTTTGTTCTTTGTTACCTGGCTTGTGTTGGTTCACTTTCACTTATCTATGCTTCATTATTATTGTGTGTGTATGTGTAGTTTGTGCACATGAGTGTGTGGTGCCAGAGGAGGGTGCTGGTATTCTTCTCTGTCATTCTCCACCGTACTCCTCTGAAACAGGGTCTCTTGCTGAACCTGGAGCTAGGATTGTAGCTAGGAAATCCTCGTCATGTTCTTATCTCTATCTCCTGTAGTACTGAGGTTACAGCCACAAAGCCGTGCCTGGTTATTTTTTACGGGGATACTAGGGATTTGAACTTAGGTCCTCATGCTTCCACACTAAAGACTCTCACCCAATGAGCCATCTCCCTAGACCCTTTCTTGTTCTCTGTGTATTTTCAATTTTAAGTCTCTGTCTTTAACACTATGTACATTTTTTCCTACTGTTTCATCCTCTGAGATAACTTTAACAGGTATTTAGAAAGAAGGCCATTTGAATGACACTGGGAAGTAGTTTCTTCAGGGTGCGGAAGAATGCATTTGTTGGTAAAAGTACATTATCCAAGTTTGACTTCACTGCAGTTAATAACTATTTTAAAAACTGTCTCAAGCATGTAACCACTTACATTTATATTTATACTTATAGAATAGCATAGTTGGCAAGGAAGAAAATGCAACCACTGGCATGCCATCTATGAGGAGAGGAAGCAGGCTAGTATCTGTTGTGTCGGGTATGGGAATAGTGTACGTTCTACAGTTCTTAGGATAACCCTGTGGGATATAGGCACCAGACAGTATGAGCTGAGCAAAATCACTATAGGTTCTCAGGTTCTCTGGAGAGTAAATTTGTGTTCAGTTCCTCCCTTTTCTTAGTGAAGTGCTGGCATTTTAGCCAGTGCAGTTATTCTTTTTCTTTTGTTTTAAGGGTCTCACACTGTACCCAGAACATTTGAAGTTTTGAGAGACATGTTACCAGGCCCAGCTACATTTTTAAAATGTTTCATATCTTTCTCTCAGTTTTTTGATACACTTTTTATTTCTATGGATTTTGCAAATGACTTATTCATTTTATGTGTTAATCTTATTTTGCTGTTGGTAGGACTGATTTCTTGAGCTAATTCCTTTTGCTCCCCTCTCTCCTCTGACCTCTCTTCTAATTCAGGGAATTGGACCATTTTTTCTTTTGCCAATTGTTTTTTTTTCAAGTAAATATGTAACTATTTGTATGAGATTACCTTTACCTTTTTTTTTTTTTTTCAAATCAAGTAGTTAAAAATATATAATTCATAAGTTCTCAGGTCTTTTGTTGACCTAGTCAGTCATACTTTTCAAGCATTATTTTCCCCAAATACGTTGTTAAAATGTTTTGAATTATACAAAAAAATTGAAATAGTTGTAACTGAGTGCAGTGAACCTGCCATCTAGATTTCATCACTTTGCCTTTCTTGTTACATAAAACAGAGCAGATACTGGTACATTTAAACACTGTGTATTTTGGCTTGTACCTCATTAACTAAGTTTAAAATTGTATAGAGATCTTTTTCTAAGGCAAAATTTATTTAGAAAAACATGCATAGATTTTAAGTGTGCTGTTGAATAATTTCTTTAGTTTTGTTTCTGTGTATACTGGCTGCTGAGGAGACTGAAAACTGCAACACACTCACATATTCCTTTACATTCTCAGAAGTAGACTTAAAATATCACAAAGTACCTTACAGCTTTTTCTTTTCATTACATAAATGTTCTTCACAGTGAAGTGGTTATAGTCAAGAGTGTTTTAATTTTTTAACAGATCATTCCTCGAGCCAACAAAAGTCTTTAACTTGACTAGTGTTGTCATATATGCGTACTGAAGAAGATAGCCTGATCCCGTCTTTGTTCAGTTATAGCCTAAACCTGTGGCAGTGGTATGTTCCCACGGCCTCAGGTGCTCAGGAGGGTGGGCAGCGTGGTGGGGACCAACCTCCAGGGGAGGAAGGAGAGGCCTGAGCATGCAGCTTATTCATACACCCCTTGCCTTATCTAGCATGCAGCCTGGGTTCAGTGTCTGGGACCATAAAAAAACATGGTCTAACGTTGTAAATAAAAATGAGTTATTTTGTCAGTTTTATGAGTTATATATGTAAAGATACTTTACATATTTCTGGGATGCTTAGTAGTTTATTAAATGCTTGCATTAATTGTGGCTCATTTGAGCCTTCCTGGGGAAAGGTTGGAGACTTCTAAGAAAACTCCCCTGTATGTTTCAAGAAATAATTTGTCAGCTGTTCCTTTCAGAGAGGAACCTTTGTTTGCTTCCATTAAAATATGATTTATCTAGATAGGTTTATTTACAGTGAAGAGATTGGTCATCCCCAGTCTTAATTTGTTGGTTTTGTTTTTTTTGAGAAAGGGTCTTATTGTATAGCTCTGGCCTGGAACTCACTACGTAGACCAGACTGGTATGAAACTCACAGAGAAACTCATCTTCCTTTGCCTCACTAGTGCTAGGATTAAAGGTGGGGCCACTAGGTCTGGCATCTGCTTTTATTGACAAACATGAGGCAACTTGTGACTGGAGAGATGTCTCAGCAGAGCTCTTTCTGCTCTTTCCGAGGATGCAGGTTCGGTTCCAAGCACCCTCATGGTGGCTCACAACAGTCTGTAGCTAGTTCTAGGAGATCCACTGCCCTCTTCTGTCCTCCTTGGGCACCAGGTACACCTCTGGTGTACATGGAATACAGTCAGGCAGTTATTCAGATCTTCTTTACAAAGTGTAAGCCAGCTCAAGGTAATAAGTCATGTCAGAAAAGATAAGATTGGCATGAACTTTGATTGGGAAAAACATTTCTATTGAAGTGGTTCTACTTAATTTTCTTTTCTTTTTTTTTCTGGGGGGTAGGATAGAAAGTGGTTTGTATTTTTAATTTTAAATTTTTATTTATTTCTTCACTTTATATCCCGGTCATAGCCCCTTCTCTTCTGTCTGTATGATCGCACCCTCCCTCCCTGCTCCGTTTATCCCCCTTCTTCTACTCCTTAGAGAAACCTCCACTCCCACCCCAGCATATCAAGTCCCATCAGGACTGAGCACAACCTCTTCCCCAGTGGCCTGGTGAGACAGCCCCGCCAGGGGAAAGTGATCAAAAAGCAGGCAACAGAGTCCATGTCAGAGTCGGGCCCCACTTCCCTTACTAGGAACCCATATGAGGACTGACCTGCCCATGGGCTACATGTCTGTAGAGGGCCTAGGTCCAGTCCATGCGTGGTCCTTGGTTGGTGCTTCCATCTCCACAGGGCCCCCCTAGGCCATGGTTAGTTGGCTCTGTTGGTCTTCTTGTGGAGATCCTGTCACCTCCAGATCCTTCTATCCTTGACCCACTCTTCCACAAGACTCCCTGTGCTCCACTCCATGTTTGGCTGTGGGTCTCTGCCTCTGTTTCCATCAGCTGCTGGGTGGAGCCACTCAGAGGACAGCTGTGCTAGGCTCCAGTCTGTAAGTGTAGCAGAGTATCGTCAATCCTGTCAGGGGTTGGCTGTCTCCCATGGGGTCTCAGGTTGGGCCAGGCATTGGTTGGACTATTTAATATTGTTCAATCAAGTAAATTTGAGCACACTAAAGATGTGTATTTTTAACATCCCTGTTCTTTTTTTTTAATTTAATTTTTTTATTATTAGTTACATTTTTATCTCTGTATCCAGGTGAACATATCCTGTTCTAAGGGGGTAAACTAACTCGGGGATCTTGGTGTGTCATATTGTAATAAATGTCTCCACTTTCTTTTATTAAAATTAGGAAAAAAATTTAGACTTACCGGATGCTGAGTTAAATGAGCTCTGTTTCTCAGCAGTGTATTTAAGAAGGGGCTTTCATTCAGTTTGTCATACTCTCTGTCATGGGGAGACATTGGGGGTGGGCATGATAGAAAGTAAACCCAGGGCGTGACACACGCACCACTCTCATGGGCTCTGTCAGCCTTAGTTTAGGTTGTTGTCATCCTTGTTGCTAAATTCTAGAAAAGAATTAGATGCACCTAATAATAACAGTTGTGAGAGGTCCCAGAGGTCCTCTTTTTAAAAGCATAATTTTGTTGGAATATATTCATTGTGCGTGGTAATGGGTTTCATAGGAAAAATTCATACATGTATATATTACTGTCACTGTGTTTTCTCCCGTGCTCATTCCTGCTTTTCTCCCCCATGTTAGTACCATTTGATCCCTTAAATAGTTTTGCTTGTACTCTCATATATGTGTGTGTGTACATTTACAAACATTATGCATGTATATATATATATGTGTGTGTGTGTGTGTGTGTACAGATATGTGATCATAGGTACATAGACACATTCTTAAGTACTTGGCTGCCTGTTTTACTATCTTCAGCACTTGTTGTATCAGGCAATAGCTAGAACCCAGATATTATTGCATGGAAAGTGTTGCTTATAGTTGCTTATAATTAACTGCAGAATCATGACCTTCAGTTAGTTGTTCTGTGTAGTTGTGATTTAATTGGAATTGGTTTTTAAAATATGCTAAAAAGCAAATTTGCTTTTGCGTTACTTTAAAGCTCAATATTGAAATCTTGTGAGTAAATTATTTCTAAAACTTTAGACTGAATGATTTATGAAGCATCATTCTTGTTTGGAAATAGATTTTAGAAAAAGCCTTATTAATTTTATACTCTTCAGTACAATTATAGCTTGTTTCAGTTTTCTGAGCTAAGATAACATATTCTCATAGGTTGTTGTGAATAGCTTAGTGAAGTTAGCAAGTTGGTAATTGATATAAATTTGAATATTCTAAAATGCACTGAAATAATTTGGTAGTGGGCAAAGGAATTCAGTTACTGATTTCTTTGCGGAGAAATAGAATTGCAGTGTTAAAGTTGAATGTTTAAATAAGCCTCAAAAATTGCACAATGAAACATCCTAACTTACTTTTTTTGTTTATTTCAGGGCCTAACACAAGCAAACTCATTTTCAGAGTTAAAAAATTATTTTAAAAAACAAGATGGGGACTCCTGGTTCTGGAAGGAAAAGAACACCTGTGAAAGACCGATTTTCTGCAGAAGATGAAGCTTTGAGTAACATCGCCAGAGAGGTGTGTGCTGAGGTGTACAAATGATGCTCGCCAAACCTGGGGAGGCAGGCGTTCACTTCACCTAGCTTGGGGTGTTTGCTAGGAACAGGAATGATGGCTGCCCTTTCACATCATAAATCTGCCCTGGTAAAATGTCTTTAGAGTTGTATCCCTTCTGAATTTGATTTTCTGAGACTTCATCTGAACTTAGTTTTTCATTATAGTTGGGTCATGTATGCTGGGGCTTTTGGAGGTGGCTTTTGGCTTATGGCTCACTAGACCTCACAGGTCCCAGAGCTGCTGGGTGAGTGCTGGCAGCAACTGCCCTTATAGGGTATTTGTGCAGAATTATAATCTGAGGTTGCTTTTTGAAACATTGCAGTGGATTTGTATGTATGTATGTATATGTGTATTAATTTATTGTTGTTTTGAGAGATGGTCTCATGTAGCCCAGGCTGGTCTTGAGCTCCCTATATAGCTAAGGACGCCTTTGAACTTCTGATCCTCCTGTCTCCACCTCCCAACAGCTGGGGTTGTAAGAGTGTGTTGCTCTCTGGTTTCTGTGGTGGTAGAGCTGAAGCCCAGGGTTTGTGCATGCTGGGCAAGCACAGCTCCAACTGAGCTGGATCCTGGGCTGTGCTGGCATTTTTGTGTTTAATCCTCCAGATACTAACAGAGCTTCTAGGGAGTTTTTGTTTCAGTTTGTTGATAACTCAGGGGAAAGGAGGAGGAGTGGGCAGGGCTGATGCTTTGTGAATCTCTGAAGCATTTCCTGTATACTGGAGATTTAGGATTGCTTTCAACCGGGCCTTCTTCCTGAGGCTCCAGCTTTTCTTCAGTTCTGACGATATCTGCAGATTTGCTCTCAGAGCTCATTCAGGGTCAGTGTGGTTTCCTTTTGGGTTATCAGTCTTTTTTTTCCTCTTGAAAGCTAGTTAGCTTTTGAATGATAATAAAACATTTTAATTCTGATTTCATTTATATGACATCCCAGGGTAGGCAGATCCGTAGAAATTGATAGATTGTGATCCCAGGGAGGACCATTAGGGGTGACTGCTCAGGTGTATGGGTTTCTGGAGCTTGGTAATAGTGATGATTGTACAACTCTGATTATACTAAAAGCACTAAGTTATTTACTCTAGAAGGGTAAACTTGTAGCAGGTGTATATACAACTCTAAAAACTCTCAATCAGGTAAGGTGGTGGTGATATCCCTTTGCTATTTTAATTTGAACTTTTTGTTGTTAGTATTTAAAGGTTTTTCTCATGTAGCCTAGCCTTAGCTCAGATTCCCTGTGTAGAACTTGAAATTCTGCTTCTCCTGACTTGATACTGTCGACTCCCATGGTAAACAAGAGTTTGTGTCACCATACCTTTTAAAAATTATTTTTTATTGTGTGTGTATGTGCACAAACATAGAGGCCAGGGGTTGATGGGGAGTGTCTTCCTCAGTTGCGCGCACGCGCACACACACACACACACACCCCCGCTGCACAGCTTTGTGCGTGAGTGTGAGTTTTGTGAGTTGAGCTCTGGACTTTATGCTCGTTTATAAGTGTAGAAGTCAAATTTTGCAGAAGCATATTTGAAGCAGCGTTACCTAAAAACTTACTAGGACAGTGTTGAAGTAAAGGAAAGTTACCTAAAAACTGGTTACAAAATTACTTTATAGTAGAAGCCAGATACTTTTAGCTAAAAATATATTTAAAAAAATGAAAAATAGGCAGTCCTTTACAGTGATCTTAAGTATTTACATAAGTCACATACTTTTAGATAAAAATGAAAATTACCAAAGTGTTTGGTTTAAAAGTGGAGGTGGGAGGGGAGAGGTTCAGTGGTAAAAGCACTTGGCCCACAAGCCTGACAAGTTCAGTTCCTGGAGATTAAATAAAGAGCCAGATGTGGTAGTATAGCATACATCTGTAATCCTTTCATGCTTATGGAGATGGGAGGAGGAGGCAGGAGAATTGTCTGGACACTTGAGGTCCAGCTGGCCTGGAGTGTATTAGTGGGCAGAGGTGAGAGAGCCTGCCTCAGCAAGGCTGAGAACAGTTCACTGAACTCTACACATGTGCCCAGGAACATACATGTATAACACACACACACACACACACACACACACACACACACACACACACACTCGCACACAGATCTGTTTTTCTAAAAATATTTCAACAATTACTCTTTTTAAAAAACAATTATGTATGCTGAGCAGTACTCTGAAAAGAAATTGAAGCCTTTAGAAAGTACTGCAAATAGCCTTTTTTTCTAAATATGTTTTTGTAAATATATTTATTATCTTCTTGGAGAACCTCATATATGTGTTCATGTCCATGCCTCATGAGCCCCTCCGTCTCTCGCCCCCCCCCCCTTTATAAATAACCTGCTAAGTCCAATTAGGGTTGCTGTGTGCACATGGGTGTGGGTATACCTGTCAGAGCATGGCCACACCCCCTGGGAAAATGGACTCTCCCTTCTTAGCAGCCATCAGTTGCAAGTAGGTCTTTAGCTAGGGGTGGGGCCTCATGCGCACCTCCCATCCTACTGAAATGTTGACTGGCTTGATCTTTGTAAGGCTTACGTAGGCAACCACAGCTGCTTTGAATTTGAGTGGCAAGGACCTTGTCATGCCCAGCAAACGTGGTTTTATAGCAGTCTTCCCTGATCTCTGGCTCTTACTAATCTTATTTTCTTTTAGGCAGCCTAAGTTTTTTTTAGTGGCTTAGTAATATTCCATTATGTATGTATGTATTCTTTTTGTTTATAAGTTCATCAGTTGACTCCACTTTATTGGATTATCATTTATTGCCAGAGGAGGTAATAGATATTCAGGCATCTAGGAGAACCAGAGTTTGTGGGTTTTGAATATAGATAACAACCTGTGGAAAAGAGTCCAAAGAGGTGGATTGTGCTTAGGTAAAAAGACACTGTCTAGTAGTGCTTTATGGAATGGCATCTGTAAGAGCTGCTGGTAATAGTGCTATTCTGAATAACTGATTTATTTTTAGGTTATGGTAAATAAAAGATAAAAAAATTTTAGCAAGTACAAAAGCGTTCTTAAAATGTAAAGGATTACCGTAGTCAGCAGGAATTAATGAGTATTAATTCTAGCTTTCATTTAAGGCTATAGTTTCACTTCATTTCATTTATTTATTTATTTTTATTTTTTGGTTTTTCGAGACAGGGTATCTCTGTATAGCCCTGCCTGTCCTGGAACTCACTCTGTAGATCAGGCTGGCCTCAAACTCAAAGACCCTCCTGCTTCTGCCTCCTGAGTGCTGGAATTAAAGATATGCACTACCACTGCCCAGCTAATTTCTTTTTAAAACAAACATGAACTTTGATTTTCTTTTTTATTTGTTGTTTTTTGTTTGTTGAGACAGGGTCTCTCTACATAACTCTGGCTATCCTGGAATTCTCTATGTAGATCAGGCTGGCCTCAAACTTACAGATCCATTTGTTTCTGCTTCCTAAGTGCTGGGATTAGAGGGACCTGACATCCCCTGGCTGGCCCTATTCATTTATTTATTTATTTATTTACTTATTTATTTATTTATTTATTTATTTATTTATTTATTTATTTATCTATCTATTTATTTTTGAGACAGGATCTCCATATATATAGCTGACTAGGTGCTCGTTGTGTAGACAGGGTCCACCATACCTGGCAATGTAAACTTTTAATATTCACTCAACACACATTTATTGAGCATCAATTTTGTGTGTACATGACTACATTTAGAGGGTATGGAGTATATAGTTCTAGCATGGAGCTTAGATTCTAAAGGAAGCAGACACTGAAGACCACATACTAGATTCTTCCTCACATTTCAGATACTTAGCTATTTCCTTTTGTCTTTAAGACTGGTTATCTGTGTGTACTGTAGTCACTGGTATTCTTAGAATTGAGGAAATATGTAATATGTGTATTTATAAGTGGTAAGTGCTCTGAGAGAACAGTAAACAGTTTCATTAAAGAGTGCCACAAGGGACATGTTTGAGGGCCTTGGGAAGACTTCCTTGGAGGAAGTGGCCTTTCACCTGAGATTTGAAAGATGAGGAGATTCCTTAAGGGAAAGGGAGTTGTCAGAGAACTTTTTGTAATCTTGTGAGGCTGAAGGAGTGCATAGAATTCAAGGACCAACCGCAGCAGCTAACATTTATTCAGCGTTTCCTTTTATACACTGTCTGAGTACTTGAATGAACAGCCTCAGGCCTTTTTATAAAGCATTACTGTTTCATCAGTGATGAATATAAGCCATGGAGACATCAAGTAACTTTGCCAAGGTCATAATGCTTAGAAGGGCTAGAGCTGGAATTTCCCATAGTTGCTGACCTCTTAACTGCTGTCTCTAGTAACTTCAGGGTGACAAGTGAGACAGAGGAGAAAAAAGAGGAATTAGCTAATTCAAGCTAGTAGTTTGCAACTAGGGGCTAGTTTTGTCCTTTGGAGGATGTTTGGCAATGTTGGTGGACGTTTGCATCTGTCACAGTGACGGGTGGCATGGGAAGGTGCCCTGACAGTTGTGGGTAGAGGCTGAGGATGTTGCTAAACCTCCCGGTGCCCAGCCCAGGGGTGAGCAGGGATGAGGCTGAGAACCTTATTATAGGCTCTCACAGATTGTGTTTAGCAGAATAAGTCAGTGCTATAAGCAGTGGGGAAGTATTGAAGGTTTGTGCAGGGGAGTGACTCGATCCAAAGGATGGCTTGTTACAGGTTGGAGATTATATCAGGAAAGAGGCTGTATCAGTGGTTTCAGGAGGTGAGTCACAAGTCACAGGTAGTGGGGTGGCTGGGCTGGGGAGATAAGCAGTTGGTTCTCTCGAATGGCATGGGAGGCAGAGGCAGGACTCTGTAGTGACTGCATCTGGAGAGATGGTAGGGAGCGCAGAGTGAGTGGGGAAGAGCATGATTGCATGTTGGCATGAGTTGTATTTCAGGTGGCTGTGAATAGCCACATTGAGATTTCAGAGGGTGGTTTGAGAATACAGACTTTAGCACATTCTGAAATACTTGTGCCT